ACCTGTACCTCTCATGTAATTGAGAAGCTTCCTCCCTGTCTGAAGCTTCACGTGATCTTTTTGGCAGTCTAGAGCGTTTGCTAAAGTGGCCAACTGGGGATAAATTGTCAGGCTTCAATGGCTTCTACGGCATTCCCATTCACTTGAGGGTCAAGCCTCCCTCACCGCTTCTCAAATTTGTAAAAATCTGCTTCACTGTACGCGAACTAGACGTGTGCGGCCCGCGTAGGCGGAATTTGCCGATTTTTCAGCTACGGTGAATGACCACCCCTGGTATCCTTAACTCTGTCATGTCAAGGACTTGAGGTGGATGACAAAGCAAAGAGTAGGTTTGATGCAACGCAAGTCTGCTACGGCAAACTAATGCACGCCCAAGTCATTGTTCTTGCCCCACTATAGTCTAGGGCACACGGTTAGCATGATCAAAAACGACTGTCACACCTTTATGCAGGCGTCACCGAGCTTTCGATTGCCTGACGAGCAGACATCCTGATTGGCTGGCCGTTCGGCCTTGGCCCCAGGGTGCTGATTGCCTCTTGGCATCCATGGATGCCCACGGAAAGCAGGAGCACAGGAAGCGCCTACAGGACTGTTGGCGATTAACACCATCAGAAGAAATTGCAGAGGTCCATTGGTAGCGTTTGAACTTTACTAGATACTTAAATTCCTACTCAATACATTTAAGTAGGCAATTGGTAGAGGTTTTCAACTTGACTGACTGCAGTAGCCCCATTGATTTGGGACATTAGTGACTCAGCAAGCCTGCTATAAAATCCTCCCCTTTCGTTTCATTCACACTTCCTGAAACGGTACATATACATACCTTAGCTCAGGGCGTTAGAAGAGATAGACGGGTTGCTTCAATTTAGCCCTCCAGTAGTCCGGCCACAACACAGCAGTTTGTTTACAGCAGCCAGTGACAGAAATTTTAGAATTATAATATTTTCTATTAGATATGACTATTCAATACATTTGTAGAGTACTATTTTTTATCAGATTTTTCTATTATTAATACTAAGCGCCTATTATTACAAGATGCCTTCAAAAAGGCTATTAAAAATGCGATTTCGGAAAAAAGGCTTTTGTAAGATAGAAGGTACCATCTGTTCGGCTGAAAAATCAACCTTCACAGTTTGAGCTTTGTCGAGCGCGACTCCGGCTTGGTTTGTTTATCGCACCTTTTTTGATTAACGCGCTCAACGGCGTCGCTATATAGCCGCATTAAACCATTTCAAGCGAATCTTAGGAATTTTTATACTTATTTTTACAAAATCCCTTTCTCTTCCATCTCTTTTCTCCGCCCACAAAACCCTCATTCCCACGTTTCCTGTAAAACAGAAACCTTGGGCTTCTGATATAGAAGACTGCTACTAACCCTACTTCTGCCAAAGAAGGATTCATGCCGGCTGCTGTACGTCTGACAAATCCCACCTTTAAGTGTTTGATAGCAGGCTCTTGTGCACTGTTGAATTTCATGGAAACCCTACCATAGGAAGGATCCCTCCGTTTCTTTTGCTAATTGTTATAATTTCTTACTCCCCCCCTTCAGCGCAGTTGCTTTGTAAAATATATTTCTGTTTCACTAATGATAATTAATCACAATGAGCGAGTCTAAATTGATAGCATGCATCACAAAATATGCTAACGTAACAAGTTACTACTTAACGAAAACACAGGCTAATCATATAATATTCTTACGAGAAAATCAGAGTTGAAGCACACATTTCTCCTGTTTTGCGGCATGAGAGCTCATGAGTTAGTCCGCAGCAGGGATAATAATCTTTTAAACAGGTCTTCTGAAATTCACCCTACCTCCATACACCCACTCTCCAAGGAATTTCCGGAAACATTCTAACTGCGTGGTCGCAACTTCTAATCCGAAGACATTTAAGTTTTGCTGTACACACGGCGTGAAACCTTGTACGGGCTTTTGCCTAGGGACAAATTCGCAAGTGAGCCGCATTGCCCTACAGAGTATATAGCGATGCTGTATCCATTGTGAAATTTAAATGAAGTGAATTATTGTTACTTCTATTGACTATTCAATGGCTGACGGAAACAGAAAACAGGTACCTTCGTATCTGAGCCCTTTTTGTAGATGAGCCATTGACCTCTTTCTTGCAACTAGCGTGCATGAGACCCCCATAAGAAGCACGTACCTGAAGTTCATCAATTTGAGTGACCATAACAGTCTGATTGACAGGACCATCTACCATGTTCGTGAGCAGCACATTAAATGGTTTGAGGTGGGCTTCAAGTACTTTCATAATATTTACGATGGAAGATGGTAAATATTGATGGGAGGTTGAGTTCGAGAAGGTGGCTACGTTTGCTACTGCTGACAAGGACGATTGCGAAGAGCCTCCGGCTGTCTTGGCATGCCCTGCCGCCGTCCATTGAGACTGCAATTAGTAGTAGAGGATTGAAAACAATGTAATGGTAACTTGTCAAAATTGTTCTTTGAATTTCCTTCTTTTTGAAATAAGAAACAAAATCCTGACATAAAAATTATAAATAAGAGTTTGATGTTAGACTATGGCTATAGGCTCTGACATTTTAACTTCACTTGAAAATTTGTCTACAAGAACCTTTTTTGGAAGGAACACAATCTGATGCCCAACTCAAATAATACAGATAACTATCTACTAAAATTTAAAAGTAGAGGTTTGTATCATCACGTCGAGCCTTTTCGGTCTTTTGGTTTAGGTTGCCGCCAACTGAATCCTTACCCACATTCTCCTGCACTCCTGAAAGTTCGCAATCGGGACGCGTTGGCTTCTCCTGGAGGAATGCTTCAGGTAATATCACGCATGGGCTTTACCCTTGAACTACGCGGTTCCTTAATCAGTTAGCGGGTTTTTCCAGTAACTGGTATTTTGGTGACGGCCTATCACTCATGCAGTTATGTAATATTTTGACCAATTTTTTCAATTGTTTGGGTAGCTTTCAAGATGAACAATAAATACATAAGAATTTTTTTGGAAAATACAAACATTTCTACCTTCAAGCTGTTAGCGCGTACCTCTTTGCACTAACCCCCTACTGAGCCCTGTTCCTTATTGCACGCTGAACTATCCTTTGTTGTCTGAGTGCGGTTGCATATTACGTACTTGCTCCACTTTTAAGTCAACCCCAAAGTGGAGTGGGATTTCTGAAACGTGACATCATCTCGTTCCAGCGGTTTCGATTATATGGAATTGAAAACTATACGTCA